TAAACTGTGGTCAATGACATGAGACAAAGTATATGTGAACTGCTGTATGGAAAGTGAATTTGCTCTGTAAATCTTCACCCAAATCACAATAAATAAAAAAAGAAAGAAAGAAGGAAAGAAAAAAAAAAAACTGGTTTTTAACTTTACCACTTCTAAAAAGACAAATCTACTTTCCTAGTGTTTGATAAGCATTTTGAGACTTGTTTTGTCTCTCGATTAATAAGTATTAGTTGAACGAAAACGGATGTTTATACTATGTAAAGTACGAGGGAAAATTAAGATATGTGAGAAGGTCCATATCCTCAGAGAGCTGAATTAGCCAGGATGGTGGGAAGTTGAGGTTTAACACAACATCAGACTGGTGGCAAATAGTCAGCTCCATGATCCTGAAATGTACTAGAATCAGAAAAATAGCTCTAGACTATTTCATGGATTCCTAATTGAGTTATTTTACTTTTTGAAATAATAGCAAAATAAAATCTACATATCCTGAGTATTCCCATGTATATATGTTCTATTTCTAACAATTATAACCATGTCCAAGAAAGGTACACGCCACATTTTTGTAGCACTGGAAATACAAATGATTATCTATGGTTAAGACTTACATACTTCTGAAAAGATAATTTAATTAGACCTTGAAATGGTGACCCTCATACCATGACCATAAGAATGTAAATGAAAGTGCTTTACAAATTAAACCATTGTATAATCAACAGTAAACTTCAAAACCAAGCATAATCCTTCCTCCTCTGCAAAGAAATTATGTCTAAAACTAGTCAATATTTTACGAAATTTCCTGAGAGTATTTGTTTGTATGTGTGCATGAATGAAAACACAAATTTTTTGTTGTTATTGGTTTTGTTGTTGTTGTTGTTATGTGCTGTCGAGGCAGACCTGACTTTGTAGGGGGATAAAAATAAGGCAGAGAAAAATGGATATTGAAGAGCAACTTTCAGCAAACTGACTTTCCATTAAATGGATAAATTCTGGCCACTGTGTTAATATTGGGAGAAGAAAAGAAAACATAAATAACAAAAAGATAAAAAACTCTTCTCATAATTATAAACTGAAGTAAAATCAAATCAGAAAGTCAAAAAGAATAAGGCTTATCAATAACAAGTTATGCATTTAAAAGTTTACATATCCTTTTCTTACCCATGAACATCAGGGAATATTCAGAACTTACTAGTGCCTGGGTCAAGCTCTGCCAATTCATCCTGACAAAATCCTAAAAAGAAAACACAATAGAAAAGATTATGCTTTGTGAATTACTTCAAATATCAAAAAGGAAATATCATCTTAAAAGAAAAAAATGCATTCTTGGAAACCAAAATTGGGTTTCAATCCTAGCTCAACATTTAACTATGATGTATGCCTCTCTGAGCCTCTATTTTATCATCTAAATATAAAAAGAGATAATAATGGTATTTACTACAGACTTGAAATCAGAATTAAATCAGATGCCTATAGAATGTTTAGCATAGTCCTTGGCACACAGTAGGAGCCCAATAAGCAGCAGCACAAGTAATTATAAGTAAGCATACCAATATTAATTAAAATAAAATTTCACAGGGAAAAAAAAACATAATTCATGCATTGCAATTACTGTTGTATACTGTTGAGTCAATTCTAATTCATATCCATTGCTATCAAGTTGATTCTCACTCATAGTGACCCTATAGGACAGACCAGAACTGCCCCATAAGGTTTCCAAGGCTGAAATCTTTATAGCAGCAGACTGACACATTTTTCTCCCCCAGAGTCACTAGAGAATTCGAACCACTCACCTTTCAGTTACCAACTGAATGCATAACCACTGTAGCACCTCGGCTACTGAACACCTGCTTCCTTTCTCCTGTTTGCTTTCCACTTATTCTCAGTTTAGGTACCTCCTCAAAAAAGTTTTCCCTTGCCTCCATTACTCCTGACTCACACAGAAGGTCAAAGTTCCCTGCTAAAATTATCTATAACTTCATGTGTTTCTCCTTTGTAACACTCAACAATGAGGAATCACTTGTTCAATGTATGTCTCTAATATGAGACAGCTATATGAGGGCAAGGAAATGACTATCTTGGTCACAACTATATCCTTAGTACCTCTCACAAGCCTAGCATCCAATAAACATCAACCAGAGTATCTCGATGGTAAATTAAAATATACTGGAGTTCAGAGCAAAGAGGAATGAAAAAAATCAAAGACATAAGGAATCAATTAGCCCAAAGGACTAATATCCCATGTAAACCCCAGCCTCTACACAACCCTGAGGTTGGACGAACTAGATGGCACCCAGCTACCACTGCTGACTGCTCTGAAAGGGATTACAATAGAGGTCCCAGATAAGAGTGGGGAAGAAAACGTTGAAACAAAACTCAAAATAAAAAAGACCAGGCTTACTGGTCTGATAGAGACTGGGAATACACCCCAGCCTATGGTCCTTAGACACCCTTCATGTCTGAAACTGAATTCACTCCCTTGGCTCAACTTTCACCCAAACAATAGACCCATAAGGGAACAATAACACCAGGGAGGTACACGGTCCTTAGAATAATCAACCATACGAGATCAAAAGGGCAGGATTTGTCCAGACATAAAGCTCAGAAGGCAGGAAGGAATAGGAAAGGACAAAGGGAAATGGTAGTCACAGGGAGGAAGTGAGAAGAGTACTGTTACATTGTGGGGATTACAATCAGTATCACAAAACAAAACGTTTTCTGGATTGTTGAATGGAAAACCAATTTATTCAGTAAACTTCTACTCAAATTAACAATTTAAAAAAATTAATTAAAAATAAACAAGTATTTATTTATTTATGTACACACATATATACACATACATATGTAAGGAGCCCTGGTGGTGCAGTACCTAACTAGAAGGTTGGTGGTTCAAATCCACCAGCCATTTCATGAAAGGGAGACAGGACAATCTACTTCCATAAAGATTTACTGCCTCGGAAACCCAGTGGGGGTTACTATGAGTCGGAATCGACTCGATGGCGATGGTTTTGTTTTTGTTTTACGTATATATGTCATCAATGTTCACTGAGGCATTACTGACAATAGCCAAAAGGTGAAAACAACTTAAATGCCCATCAACAGATAAATGGATAAAGAAAACGTGGAACACAATTCACTAAGCCAGCAGGATAAAGTCTTGATACATGCTACAATATGGATGGAGCTGGAAGACATTATGCTTCATGAAATAAGCCAATCACAAAAGGACAAACACTATGTAACTTTACTTACATAAAAAGAAAAGATAAATGTATAGAGAACAAAAGTTAATTCGCAGCTACCAGAGGTGCGAGAGGAGGAAAATGGGAATAAATGGGATTAGCTCACTGATTAAAGGTAGGTTGCACAGCTGATACTGTAATTGCTGTCAATAAGGTTGTTGTTGTTGTTGTTGTTATGTGCCGTCGAGTCGGCCCCGACTCATAGCGACCCCTCCTTGGGTTTCCGAGGCAGTATCACTACGGAAGTAGGATTGCCCAACCTTCCTTCCGAGGAGTGGCTGGTGGGTTTGAACCGCCAGCCTTCTCGTTAGCAGTCAAGTGCTTTTAGCCACTATGCTACCAAAAAGTCTAATTGGCAAAAGCTGTGTGATAGCTGTATTTGCAACAATGACTCAAAAGAAAAAAAAAGAGCTATGAGACTGTTTATGTACAATCAAAAACCTCATGGGATCTGGTTCCCTTGTTTGGAAGTTTCATGGTACATCCCAGTTAATTGGCCTAATAAAGTGGTTTAGTGCTTCTGTTCTACCTCCTAGTTCATTTCCTAGTACCTGGAGCAACAGAGGAAGGAGGAGAATCAGGAATAGGAGGAAGATATGGAATGTGTGGCTAATTATCTCCATGAATGACTGCCTCCTTTGCCAGGAGACCAGAAGCTGGATGGTGCCCAGCTACCATTACTGAACATTTTGATCAAAGATTCTATAGAAGCCTCCTGAGCAAAATAGGGTAGGTAAATGCACAAAAGAATTTCAAATTCTCATGGACTTCAGACTTCTTGGAGCCATGAAGACTGGATGAAGACCTGAAACTACCACCCTGAAATCATTTATAAATATTAAACAAAAAATATTCCCTGAAGACTTCTTAAGGAGCTCTGGTGGTGAAATCAGTAAGGCATATGGCTGCTAACCAGAAGGCCAGTGGTTCAAACCCACCATCCCTCCATGGGAGGAAGATGGAGCAATCTACTTCCGTAAAGATTTACAGCCTCAGAAATCCAATGGGTTTCTATGAGTTGGAATTGACTTGATGGCAGTGATTTTGTTGTTTCTTTGTTTTTGTTTTTAAGTCTTCTTAACACCACAGGTTACCTTAACTAGTAAAAAAATGTCTGCCTTGATCAAAATCATTTGAGAAAAAAAAAGGGGGGGACTAGGTTTGCTGGTCCAAGAGAGCCTGGTGGAACCACTGAGACTATGGTCCCTAACTGCCCTTCAGGTCTGGAATTGAACCCACGCCTGTGGCTTCCAGCCAAACAATAGACAGGCATATGAATTGAACATTTACCTGCGGTAGATACACTGCTTGGAGAGAACAAGCATGGGAGAAAGAAGGGCTGCTTATGCACAGGGAGACAGCTCAGGGGGCAGGAGTGCATGGAGGAATGGATACAGGGAAGAGGTAACTATCCGGAGGAAGTGGGAGGGGAGATGTTGCATTGTAGTAAATTGTGGTCAATGTCATGAGGCAAAGTGTATGTGGACTGCTGTATGGAAACTGTATTTGCTCTGTAAATTTTCACCCAAATCACAATTAAAAAAAAAAAAAAAAAAAGTCTGCCTTGAGCATTATGCTCTTTTATGAACTACCTATACGGGCCCCCACTTGTCTATCAGTTTGTCGTACTGTGGTGGCTTGTGTGTTGCTGTGAGACTAGAGGGTATACCACTGGTATTTCAAATACCAGCAGGGTCAACCATGATGGACAATAAAAAAAAATAAAACATAAAGCATAAGAGATCTATATGGGATCAAAGTAACAATTTCACCTCGAAAGATTTGACAGGAACTTTAGAACACTGTGAATTTATGTTAATAAGGGAGAAACAACTCAGAAAAGGAAGTGGAGAACAGTTGTACTAGAAGAATGTAATCAATGTCATTAAATGATACATGTAGAAACTGCTGAGTGAGTGAATATTTTGCTGTTTATATTCTCAACAACAAAATAAAATTTTAAAAAATATATTTAAGTTGTTCCCACAGGTTCAGAAGGAGGAAAAGGATGAACTGATGGAGCACAAGACATTTTTAGGGCAGTGAATTATTCTGTATGACTCTGTAATGGTAGGTACAAGACAATAAGCATTTGTAAAAACCCACAGGTCTGTACAACACAAAGATTGACTCCTAATTGGTAGAAATGGTTAGGTTCAACTGTTGTTGTTGTTGTTATTTGCCGTCGAGTCGGTCCCGATTCATAGCGACCCCTCCTTGGGTTTCCGAGGCAGTATCACTACAGAAGTAGGATTGCCCAACCTTCCTTCCGAGTTGGCAGTTCAAACTCACTCAGTGGTGCCATGAAAAAAGGTGTAGCAATCTGCTTCTGTAAAAATTACAGCCAAGAAAACCCTATTGAGCAGTTCTATTCTGTAACACATGTGGTTGTCTTAAGTCCGAATCTAGTCAGCAACAACTGGTTTGGGTTTTTGTTATTGTTTGCTTCAGTTAATAATAATGTATCAATATTGGTTTATCAATTATAACAAATGTAGCACAGGAATGAAAGAGAAATTGTGTGCATGGCAGAGGAAATACAATTTTTCTGTAAACCTGTTGTTGTTGTTGTTGTTGTTACATGCTTGTTGTTGTTGTTACATGCTGTCAAGTCGGACCCAACTCATAGCGACCCCTCCTTGGGTTTCCAAGGTAGTATCACTACGGAAGTAGATTGCCCCATCTTCCTTTCGAGGAGTGGCTGGTGGGTTTGAACTGTCAGCCTTCTGGTTAGCAGTCAAGTGCCTGGCACTACGCTACCAGAGCTCCCTCTGTAAACCTAAAACTGCTTTAAAAAATAAAAGTCTATTAAAAATATATACATACTACAGCAAAACTAAGACCACAAGGGTATGGGAACATTGTCTTTCATAAAACTGAGGACCCAAAAGCCGAATTAGTAGATTAGAGGGATTCGAGTCACAGGCACACTATTTAATATATTCCTCGGCTATTTTAGCAACACCATTCACCAAGCATGCCACATCCTTTC